GAATCTTGAAAAGTATAACAAATTAAAAATTTTTAAATACAATTTCACGTTTCAATATGTCTTTGCTGTATTAAGCAAGATTGTTTGTCGTATTAAACGTTGTGTATATGTCACAATAAACGAGAATATGAAACAAAGGTGGAAACTCTTGAATTGGATTAGGAATTATTGAAATCGCTTAATTGAATTATTTTTAATTATTAATTTAATATATTTCTGAGAGAGAGAGGTCTTTGATCACTCCAACACAGGACCGCAATAGCCGAGTTATTCAGGCGCTAATTCCCTCGGTCGTTGTTGCTGAAACAATCAAGGTAATACCGACGGTGTATCGTAATGTCCGCCAAGTGTCCGTAGTTACTGGTGCGACAGTGCGCAAGGTTGTTCCGAACTTGTTCGTGCAACACGACGCCTTGAGAGAAGTTTACTCTGGCACATGTTCCGCATCTAAATGTGCGTTGTCTAACGTTAATGTCGTAGACGTTACGCGATGCGATAGTACGTGAATGTATGCACCTACGCGTATCGGCTACAAGATTGCAGACGGTCCTCCTCTGCAAAGAGAGAGTTTATTCTCGTAGCTCCGACTGAACGAGCGAGAGTCGGGATCGTGTCCCATTAAAATAAATGGAATAGACGCCATTCCAGAATAATATCATAATTGACAAATAAAGGCTCGACGCTTAGTATATATATATATATATATATATATATATATATATATAGAGCGAATATATTTATCTGAGATTCTGCAAGATGGAGACGTGACATGGGGATTAGGGCGAGAATTTTGAGATTTATAAGAGGTATTATCTCCTGTAGCTTCTAAGCTTGACACCGCTCGATATTATACTACATACAAAGTTTGAACTTTCTATTTTTTTGTTTCCTATGGATTACGGATATCTGGAAAGTTGGTACACTGGGAAATGGAAGTTCCCCGGACGCATTCTATCCGAGAATTGCAAATATTTAGGAAATTTCAGCTGGAGCTGATTTATCATCCCGTCTCTCGTTTAGTGGCGGGGTGAAAGCTATTTACACGCTGATCGCAGTTTATCGTTGCTCGCTGCCCTCGGGGGACTTGTCTCTCCGAGCGATGCGACGAGATCGTAAACTTCCGAGATCGCTTCTTCCCTTTGTGTCATTTCTTGCGGCCCGATTTAGGGTTTTTGAAAGTTTAATCCTCTAAATCTCTAATCTTGATATGACCACATGATGCTCTAACTAACTAAGAAACTAACATCACTCAGAAATTGATTATTCCCAAAGCATTACAGTTTACACATATTATATTTTAGAATTAAACATACAATTACATATATTGTTAAAGAATTCTAAAAATTATAAATTACATACACTCATGTACATATACCGAAGTATAAAAATTGTACAAATTTAAATTATATTATGAAAAACATATATTAAGAAAATAAAAAAGAGTGTTAAAAAATTAGATGATATTAAATAATATTGTAGAGAATTTGTATTTTTGACATATCGCGAAACTCTCGCTTCTTATATTTGACAAAATTGGCACGACGCATCTATCGGCATTTGAGCTTCGTTCAGAGGGTTGTTTTCGACTATGGTCGCGCCTCCAGCGGAGGGTGTCTGAAACAGCCGACCCTCTCTCTCATCTGGGAGGACAGTGCGGCCTGATCCGCGGCGCCGGCCGAATCGCCGGCACCCCACGTCCGCGTCCGCCGAGCGTTCGTTCCTCGACGCGATGTGCCGAAAACGATGAATGAAAATGTGCGCGGTCCCGTTACATCAAATGCGCATCGCGATGAGATCAACCCGTACGATTTTCCGTTGAACCGTTCGAGCAAGGAAATCGCGAATAAAGCGCAAAGATTTTAACGAGCACTACATTTCGCGAAAGGTGCAAATTTTTTTTTTCTTGATAATGTTGAAGGGATGCTTTTAATTTAATGAAGCTATCACCCGGAAGTGTGCACTCAAATGAGATGGATGGAAGATCGTTCAAGATCATTAAGATCGATGAGACCGCTTCCGCGATCCTATTCTTATTTCCCAAAACCGATATCCTTCTTACGAAAGTACGCTTTGTTCGACAATAAAAGGCCTCTCGAACTTTTTATTCGCATTCGAGAAAGTATTGCATTGAATTAAGGGGGACATAGCGAGATTTCATTAGCGAGGATAGATCACGAAAAATTGCGAAAGCGTTTTGTCTTGAAAATATAACCGAACAATTGCTGAAATGTCTTCATTTGAAGCTTCATTTAGTTAGTTATTTTTTTTTAATGAAAGGGAATACGCAATTTAGTAAAATATTAAAATTCATTTTTAATAATTTACAAAGGTAGTTTTATGAAATATAATTCCTGAACAAGTCGTATTATTTATTGAAATTGTTTAATCGTCTCGGCAGATGAAAGTTATTTTTGAAAATGTCAAATGTTTTGCTCCAAAAAAGATACGCGGAACTATCTTTCATAGATAGTTCAAAACTCTCTCTAATAAAGTTAGAAATTATACTTCGTACTCGAAAGTACAAAATACAACTTCTGACTCGGTGTTTAATGATTCGCGGGGACTTCCCGTCGAAGAAAATTTCTAGATGGACCGTCGTCGTTTGTTGAAACTTTGTAATGTTCGATATTATATCTTTTCAGCAGCTAGAAATGGAATAGTGAACAGCAGTTTAGATCCAAGAATGTAATTACGCGCCGTTTGATAAATTTCATCCGCCGCTGAGTGCGGTCTGTTGAAGCTACACGAAAGGAATTTCTGCTTCCTGTTTCGTTTGTCAGAGGTAGATTAACGTTCAATGTGTGTCCGCGTACGTGTGTTGAACGTGCATAATAAAATTAAATGGGAAATTTCATTTACATCGCCATTTTCCAAATATAAATCTCGCCTCGTCATTATGCAGTAGTCCAAAGAAAAGAAACGTATTTTATACTCGCTAGGAAATTATAAATAGATATTCATTTAGTAACATACGTCTATATCTCGTAACATTATACAAAAACGTAATTTTTTTAGATACACGATAATATGTATTTCTATCTTCTTTAATTTAATTACACATTACACGAAATCACATAATGAGATTCGTGGGACAGCTCACGCGAAAATTCGATTTTCTTCGAATCTGCAAGAGCAATTATTAACGAGATTCTTTCCTCACGTAATTTTGTTTGTCAGTATTCCTATGTGGTATTCTTATAATAAGAGAGCTCTGGGAACCGCGAGATTATACATGGTGCACGTAAGAAAGCGTTTTAGTCCTTCCTAACAATTCTGTATCGTTTGGTTTTTCCGCACATCTGGCGAGAAGCTTATTTCTTCTCTCCGGAGAGTATAACCTCTCTCACCTCGAATAATAATAATAATTTAACAAAACTATTTTGGTTCACGAGAAAAAAAGAACAAAATCTATAATAACGTCTCAACTGTTATATGTCACTGAGTACAACTGAAACATCCCGTTATCTGAATGTTATTTTTAATTTTTGAATATTCTAATTTGTTCTAGTTTGATAACAATTACTTATTTCCGAATAATTTACTTTGTATTGCATATTATTTTTTAATATTATTTATTTTATATTATTTCACTTATTTTAAAGTTCTAAACTAATATGCTATATATTCTTTATTATGCATTATTTATTTCCTGTCAAAAATTATTCACATTACACATATATATGTATAAATAATTAGGCATATTTAATTATTTAATTATGTCTGATAATCTTTGAATGTTGTACAATATATAGAAATGTCGAATCTTCAACAGTGAATTTCCGTGTTGACAATATTAATATTGAGAAAACCAAATTTACCGCTTTGAAAGTACAGTGCGTCGATATTTTCCTATTAAAAATATTTTCTCGCGGGCGATCTCTTTTGCGACTGAAGATATGCGCACGTTATGAAAAGAAAACGTCAAGGTGTTTTCTTCATGACGATGAAAACGCTTTTCTACGACGAAGAAACGTGCTGCGTTTTTATGTTAAGGTGAAATGTGATAACTTAAGGAGGATTATCCTCTAATCAATTTAGACTCCATTCCTTTCAGTGAAAATGTTAATGTAGTTTCTTCATTATTAATATTAAATAAATTTCTAATATGATATTATTTTAAATAAAATGACTTTGATTTTCATTTAAAAAATTGAAAAAAGGTATTAATTAAAATTTTAATTCTGATTTTTAAAAATTTCTGATATTAATTACTTTCTTTGCTATTTTCTATTATCAAAAATTAATACGCTGCCAGTGCAAAACTTTTTATACTAATTGAATATTTAATAATATATTGAATGATGACATAACACGAAAATGTTGAAGCATTGTTACAATTTTTAAGTAAATTTTAAATATTCAGCGGTTTTTGAATAAATATTAACCTCAATTTTTGCCAGTTATGTAGATCAATTAGAAACTTTTTAAACTTTTAAAAAAATAGAACGCTAATTTTTTGGAGATTAATTAGTTAGATGAATAACGAGAACGCGTGATTCACTTTTCTGCTTCAAAAACTCTCAAACTCTCAAAATTCGGTCATTTAGGTAATTGTGCGCGATGAAAGAATTACTTAATTTCTTCCATGCGGCAAATTGCTTTCTTTTCTTTTAGCGTAACTATCGCAGTAATTAAGCGTGAAAAATCTACGCGATATAACAGTGAGAAAAAGTCACTACATTAATTAATAAATAATAATTTTAAGGAAACGTCAAAGTGTTTTGGTTTCATATTTTAAGAAAATAATTTTAAGAAAATGCGAAAAGAAAAAAATATTTAATTAATTTCTATGTAATTTCCGCGATAAAAATTTTTAAAGTAATTGCAAAAAGATCTCTCAAGTTAATTACGAAAATGACATTTCAATGATTTTCTTTCAAGAAATCGTGAGAGGGGATCCTGTTGAAGAAAACATCAATTTAATTTTATTTTATCTTTTGCAATATACACACAGCAACTAGCAACTGAAATTGGTAATTAAAGTCATATCGCAAAAAGTTTTGCATATCAAATTAAGTTACTCCAATCCCGATCGTAATTATAATTCTTGAAAGACGCTTTTTGAAAATAAGCAATCTTATCACAAACTTCTTTTTCCACTTCCAAATCAAATACAATCATTTCTTTATTAATTATATCTGATTTGTTTAATTCAATTATATTATTTCTAAATGTTTATTAAATTTTTTATATTAATTAAATTTAGAAAATTATATTATTATCATATTAGTTTTTCTTGTCAATTTCAAGAATTTTGCAAGAAGGAATGAAACAAAGAATTCATTCTTCTATTGGATTCAACTTTAAAAGTTGATTAACTACTTTGATCAATGATAGCATATTGTGCTGATGCCAGGAAGAAGATGCATTACCGCACTCGGAAGGTGCAGTTAATTGCCGGTAATTATCTAACTAATGCTCCATGAAAAGCGTGCACCACCACTCGTTTCGACCTACTTTTATGCAACAATGCACATATATCGAAATCTATCACTTGCGCAATAATTCCAAATCATCTTTTATACAGAAAGAAGACATTATTTAGATACTACACTTAACAACGCCGCCTTATGAAACTAATGATATTAGGTATTATAATAGTTTTATGTTTAGTATGATTATAGTTTTAATACAGTTTAAATTTTAATCTATCTTTAGTTATAATCTTATTAGTTAATAATTATTATCCAATTAAATTATTTTGACGCTGAGCAAATTGTGTTGTAAATAATGAGCATATATGAGACATATATCTCTCTACGAATTACCTTAATTTTCATATTTACTACGTGAATTACTATACAGTATCATTCCGATTTTTGAATACACGCGGTATCCCATTATTACAGAGTGTCGCACAGTACCTTTCTCTTCCTCTTTTACTCTTCCTCTTTTGCTCTCTTCCTCTTTTATTTCCGTCATATAATTTTATTCACGCTCTTTTGCCAGTGAAAAGTGTCTGGCTATATGCCAGTGAGTCAGTGCGACGATTACATTGCTGCTGCGTTTTAACATGGAGTTTTATAGAGTTTTTGCGATAGGAAAAGGGAAAAGAAGAAAGAGAGAGAGAGAGAGAGAGAGAGAGAGAGAGAGAGAGAGAGAGAGAGAGAGAGAGAGAGAGAGAGAGAGAGAGAGGAGAGAGAGAGAGAGAGTA